AGGCCCTAAAAGGTATGATATTCCTTCTCTTCTCAATTTTCGTATTCCCCCAAAGGTGAGTTCAAAGTCTACTTGAAGCTCCAAAAGATTTAAAAAATTGAACACTATGAAGGTGTTATTTTAGTAATTCAAGGATGAGAAGACTTTGAAATTGCAAAGTATGCAAAAGGATGGTGTTCTAGGGTTTTATATGTGAGAAGGGGCAAAATTTTATAAGAGAAATTGAAGGAGAATGTGTTATTTTAGTTGCTGGAGGTGAATCACGCCATGAATTTGCACTACTCGAATCGCTGGAGTGGAGAAGAAGGGATAGGAAATCGCTGGAGAAGAAGAGAGAAAAAATTCGCATTGCTCGTTCCTTTTTTCTTTTTCTTTTCTGTGATAATGCGTAAAAAATGGGGAAGAAGATTGGCATCCGATCTATGTTAGGGCACAAATGACGTGGATGGTGGCGTGGGTAATGTGTGATGTGTAAAAACAGGTGTCTGATGACGTGGCAGGAAGTATTGCATGTGTGTTCCATGTCATTTTTCCGATCCGCCACGTCACTGAGTTCTGGCCGGAATATCTGTTCGATACACAATTGCAAAATTTAAACAAGGTTGGATTTTTGGTGCTAAAATGAAAACCTTGAGTTTTATTTGCAGTTTAACTAAAGGTTGTGATTTTTAAGGCAATTAACCCATAAATATAAGTGATGATGGAGTGGTTATTTATATTTTCGAGTTGATATTTTGAGAAATTGATTAAATTATTATGTTGTATTTTTTTTAATAGTAGACATAATATAAATCTTTGATTAAAAGATAAATTAAAGCTCATGACTTACATAATAAATTTAAAAATCTCAAATGCAACGTATATTAAAAAATTCTCGTCGTCTTGATTTGATCCAGATATAGGGTGTGTTTGTTAAACAGCTTTTTTATTAGCTTTTAGCGGTTTCTACTCATTTTAGCGGTTTGACCGTAGCAAACAGTTAAATATATTGTTTGGTAAAATGGCTTTTTCAAATAGCTTTTTTATCAAACCGCCAAAATCAGAAACGCTGTAATCTGCAGCGTTTCACAATAGCTTTTTGGGGAAAATAGATAAATTGTTTGCTTCTACTTCATATCAGGCAAAAATTGAAAAAAAAAATAATAATAAAATTATTATTGGCTCTGCTCACGAAACTCATTTTAAGCTAATGACCTTTATTTTGGACTCAGAATCATTTTAACTGTTTGATGTGTACTTGCTACATAACAAAATAAATAAATAAATAAACAACAAATGAAATATATTTCATTAAACTTATATATACACTAATTAGAATCATAAATTCTTTTTTGATGTTTATTTGTTATTTTTGGTATTGTATTATTATTTTATGTTGTTTATTAAATGCTTTAATGATTTTTATTTTCTAAAATAATTATACCAAAAACATAAAAAAAAAAGCTATATAAATGTCCTTATAAATAATTTTATATGCTAACAACTAAATATGAAATAACTAATTTACCAAACACTTTGTAACAAATCGCTAATGTAAATCCGTTGGTCAAATCAGCTAATACTATTCGCTGGTCAAAACAGCTAATACAATCTGCTAACCGCTAACGCTATCAGCTGATTGCCAAACAAGTCCATAATATATATGTTCGATTGAATATGTTTGAAGCTTACGATGTTATATTAAAAAAATTCTCGTCATCTTGATTTGCTCCAGATATAATATATATGTTCGATTGAATATGTTTAAAGCTTACGATGTAACTCTCGGTTACATATGTCGACGTGATGTTAAAAAATAGGCACAATTTTTTTTAGTAGAAAGGAAATTGATCCTATCTCGTTACTTGCAAGATCAGAGTGATTAGTGGCTTAGATCGTACGAGCCACGTGACTCTAAAAAATAGTGAGAAGTTAAAGATTTAGATATTACACGAGTTGGGTAGTGAGATGTACTGAGCCACACACACACACACATACAATTGATTTGTGTTATGTGTCACTCTTTTTTATGAGATTTTGGTCCAGTCTATGAAGAAACATCTGAAACTTATTTTTGGAGAACTTTTGCCAATTGCAGGAGATTTACGAGACACTCGAAAAAGAAGGAGTAGCGGACCTTGGAGATTGAAACTATGATGACATTAACTCTACCTTTTTTTTGTTCCAAGTTGAACTCAAGCTGTAGCGCCTCGTTCCATCTATAGAATTCCTCGGATTATTTAAATTATCGGCTCTCTTTTATTTAATATATTTAAGTACTTGTTAGTTTATTTTTAAAGCATCCGTCGTTCGGCGATTTCGATTAAATTGCGTAAACCGAATTTAATCCATTCTGAATTATGGATTTCTCCAGAGTTATTTTATTTATTGGCATTATTTTTATTTCCTTATGCCTTGATTAATCGCTTATTATTATATTATTGTTGAATAAATAAAAGTATATGTGCCTGTCGAATTTATGTATCGTTCGCTGTTCGGATTTGCGGTTTAATCGCGTAAAATTATGTTCGTTCCGTTTTCAATTCTTCTCTGGAGCCATTGAATCGAACCCTCA